TGGAATAACCGGGTAACAGTCCATGACAAGTCCCTGGTGGTGAAACATCGGTTGTGACAGAGAAGGGTTTTCCTTTATGGGCCGCTGGTTGGGGCGTCAGGGGGGGTGAGCAGGATGGGGTGGTGTATGTTTGGCAGTGGAAGAAGAAGTTACCATCAGTGACCAGTGTTGTGTCCAGGTTTGCTGCAGCAGATTTTCATGTGCGTTTGGCAGAGGAGACAGCGTGAAAAATATTTAAATGAAAGAAAATATTTATAATGAAAATGTTTCCACACAAATCATAATGTTTTGTGAATTATTTGGCGGCCCACTTGCAATGCCTTCGTGGCCCACTAGGGGTCCGCGGCCCACAGGTTGGGAACCGCTGTGCTAGACGAAGAGGAGACATACAGGGTTAGTGTCTGGGAGGTCTTAATCTCAAACTGTCAACTCTTACGAGATGAAACAGAGCTGAGGGGCAAAGTCTGATTAAATTATATGATATGCCCTTTCTCTCATTTTATAAGTACTGATTAACCAGATGCTCACAATACTGAACTATTCCAACTGCACATTTTCATGAACAAAAATTCCCCTTATTTAATACCTAATGTGACAAGAGCATCCTATTTCAATCATTTTAGTTTTTTGGCTTGCTATATCATTTATATACTGTGATACATCAGTTAAACATTTGTTCACCTCACGCATTTTGTGTTGGGAAATACATCTTATAGGCTTGGGAAATGTCTTATATGTTCATACTGTTCTGTCAACGAAGTCTTTGATCCTCCTTGAATAACAAGACAGCAGAAAGGGGATCACCTGTGGTCTCACCACACTGCTACCTCTCAGCGGGTTACAAAGACATGAATGAACTAGACACAGAAGTAGCAATAGAGGCTCATCACAACAACATGATAATCAATCATCTCCTGTACTTATGTTCTGGCGACGCTAAGCATAGTGTTGTTACATCTTTAAACTCTCTTCTTCAATAGTAATTTCAAATAGTTTTGAGAGGCACATGATGTTGTCCTGCTGATAGGAGCATCACAAAATAATAATTTTGGTTGATTTTGGCTGTGGAGGACTTGTCTAAATGTAGTTGTTTTATCAATTTTCAATTCTATTCAATGTTGCGATTTGTTACCATTGGGCTTTTGTCTTAATCTCCGTCTACAAGCCAGATTTCCCAAATGATCACCTAAGAATGTACTGACCTGAGAAATCAATGAGACAATCTGTAATAGACAAGTACTCTACATTTAAAGGGGACATATCATGCTATATTTGAACAATATATGGCCCATACCTATACAGGACTGTCTCAGAAAATTAGAATATTGTGATAAAGTTCTTTATTTTCTGTAATGCAATTAAAAAAACAAAAATGTCATACATTCTGGATTCATTACAAATCAACTGAAATATTGCAAGCCTTTTATTATTTTAATATTGCTGATTATGGCATACAGCTTAAGAAAACTCAAAAATCCTATCTCAAAAAATTAGAATAGTTCCTCAGACCAAGTAAAAAAAAAAGATTTATAACAGCAAAACACAATCAAACATTTGAAAATGTCCATTAATGCACTCAGTAAGTACTGAGTGCATTAATGGACATTTTCAAATGTTTGATTGTGTTTTGCTGTTATAAATCTTTTTTTTTTACTTGGTCTGAGGAACTATTCTAATTTTTTGAGNCCTCTCTGTTCTACTACCATGTGTTAATGATCATGTAAAGCACTTTGAATTGCCTCTGCGTCTGAAATGTGCTATATAAATAAACGTACCTTAGCTTATACCTTACCTAAAGGAAATCCATCATGTTATAAATAGCATTAAAACAAAGTTTCGGATTATTGGCACATTTCTTACTTCTTAGTTTAAACTTCATCATGATCATTAATCATCATTCAACAGCAGGGAGTTGCTAATCAGAAGTGTGTTCTCCATTTGCATCAGCTGGTTTTTTTCCAGGTGTAGCTGGCGGAATTCATCTGAAAGAAAAAAACTGTAGGAAGAGTGTGTAATCGTAATGAAGTGTTTGGTTTAATCTGAAATCCACAAAGAGAGAGAGAGAGAGAGAGAGAGAGAGAGAGAGAGAGAGAGAGTCACTGTCATAAAGCCAAAAGTGTATCTCCATGTCTAAAACTGTGCGTTAGTGTGTGCCTGTGTTGGTGTGGATGACCTACTTGTGTTTGTGTTTTGTTTCATGTATTGTTCTAGATCCACAGCTCCAAACGGCTGCCATGCATGGTGCCAAACACGACTAAGCACTGAGTGGCAGAGAGATGCTTACACTGCTGGCGGCTGCACTGTACATGCCTCTGTGTGTGTCTGTGTGGACTGATGGATTGTTGATATACGATCCTTGAGGGAATTAGCACTTGCATTAATGTAGTCATCGATGTGAGTAAGCAAAAAACAACATGCCCTTTCCATCTTTGATTCTTCTGAAATGTATAACTGTAAGTTATCTGACGCCTGGCACTTCCTGTTGCTGAAAATACCAGACCAATGATTTCTTGCAAACACAATCTGTTCTTATTCCTGCCCCCAGTACGCCCCCACACCCTCGCCTGTTCCCATTCACATTTAATGGACCCCTTTGATCCCTTCATCTTGTCACATTTAACTTAATCTATTCCTAGCTAGCTTTCTTCCAATCTTTGTGCCCTGCAGATGAATACATCCTCTCTTTCATCCGGCAACTTTTCTTCTCTGTAACGTAATGTTCCTCCTTTCCTCATTCCCTTCAACTGCCCCTCAATGCAACACTATATTCACCCAGTTATCATCCTCACCAGCTGAATGACCCTTTCTGCTTTTTTTTCAATCCCCATCTCTTTCTATCCCTGTCTCTCTTTTTTCAATCCTCATCTCTCTCTCATGTCTATTTTTCTTCTGTTTATTGTAAACCTTCACTCTGCCACATGCTCTACTTGTTTTTCTCCCCTCCCTTTTTCATAAATAGCCCGTTTATTTGCTCAGCTTAATTATCTCCCTCATCCATATTTGGTCTTCTTCCTCTCCACCACTACCTTCCTGTATTCAATGTGAATGGAGTAGTTACAGAGTGTTTGTAACACTAGTGTTTTCACCAATGCTGGCACGCGTGCCATGGGTTGCCGACCCCTGAGCTACGGTATATAGCGTACACACACCTCGGCTTTTAGGGTTGACACGTAGACCCAAACGTCACCCGGAGGTCCCCCGATGTTGTTGCAGGAGCTGGGTTATGGCTAGAAAGGATCCGTCTAGTGTAAAACTCTCGCGAGAGTTTGCAAGTCACGTGGCTTAATGTTTACGTTTGGCAGGCAGCCTTTCAGTTACGATCGTTAACATCAGTGGGCCACAGCAAATGATCGTGAGAAGCTAAACTATCTATTAATTATGTCAATGACAGGGAGTGTGATTGTTGAAATAGGGTGTTAGCGGTCTTGTTGGTGTTCAAAGAAGAATGACAACACTGTAGATCACCAACACTATGGTTTATTTTTTATTCACAGGCAAGTCAATGTTGTCGCAGTAAAAGTCCCAAGATAGCTCCTGGTGCGATAAAATGTTCCCTTTCAGTGTTTTACTATTATCCTGCTGCATTAATGTGTATGTTGCATCATGTTACTGCTGTAAATGTGTTTCCGAGCCGCTCCAACGAGAGTTACAACGAGAACGTGACGTCACATTTACACAAGACGGATCCTTTCTAGCCATAACCCTGGTGGTGGGCGTTGCCGTGTATGTGTGTGTGTTAGCCTTAGCAAGTGTTTGTGTGTCTGTGTATTTTCCCCATAAGGCAAGACCCGCCCAACTCTGTCTCTGATTGGCTTCCCTGAAATGTTACCCCGCGTTACCGATCATCACTCCTCTCTGGTCACTTTCACTTTTCCATGGTACTGTGAGGACACAAATTACCCACGCATATGAACGCCAATGTAATACACTAAGGTGACTTGGCTTAGAGGCGCCTACATTAAATGTCCTTAATGCGCTAC